AAATGTGTAGATCTATGTATTATATGCATGTCATGTGTGATTTCTTGTATTATGTTGTGAATATGTGTTGCAACTTGACAAATCTCGAAATCCTTGACAAGAATGAGTAAAATTCATAAACTAAAACATTTTATACATCATACTACAAAGATAAAAGTATATTGTCTGTCTAAATGTGTAAAAACAAAACAAAACTTGTGTAGTAAGATCATTTTGTCAAATAAACAAAAGATTGGGCCATTTATGTCACTTTCGGTTTGATGAGGATCAAAAAGAATGTATTTGTATAAAATCGAGTTTTTGTGATAATCAATCACACTTTTTAAAGGACTAAAGATGAAAATTTTAGCCTTTTGGGCTTAGAAGTTTGGGCCTTACGGTTTTCGGCCCAATTTGCGAAAAAATGAGACTTTTAGGGTTAAAAGTGTTATTTGATCAAAAGTTGAGGCAAAAATGTAAATAAACCGAAATCAGGGTTAAAAATGTCATTTATTTCTAAATTAGGCCAAAAATGTAAAATTCACGAAAAATGGGTCAAGAATGTAATTTTCTACAAAAATGGGCTGAAAACGCCAATATATGTATATTTGGGTCAAATCTGTCAATTATTAAATATTTGGGCCGAAAATATAGAACTTTTATAAATTAATGGGCTAAAATGTTATTTTGAACTAAAATAGACCAAAAATGACCTTTTTTGTGAAATAAGCCTTTAAATGTCTCAAATTAGTTTTTAAGAGGTTTAAAGTGCAAATTCTATCAAAATTAATTTCAAATTATAGAATTACGACCTAACAAACTATACTATAACGAACGAGTGAAATACAACAACAATGCGATTATTGGGCCTAGTAATTGCTATACATGTTTATTGGGCCTTCGTGGTCCAATTACATGTTTATTGGGCGTAATGTATTCATCACATGTCTATTGGGCCTAAGTGACCCAGTTACATGCTAAAAGGGCCTAATTTAGCATTTACATGTTATTGGGCCTTAGTGGCCCATTTACATGCTAATTTTATCCTGGAAATAACTTACACGTCTAATGGTCCATAGTTGTCTTTTCTTCATGTTTGTTGGGCCTTATCTTATCATTTCATACATTATCTAGTGATCGAACATCTAAATACATATAACATTATACAAATTCATGTGAATACAAATAGGATCTAGTGAGACGTGTCGGTTGACACCACTGAGTGTATGGCCATAGCTTGTACTTATAATCAGAGTCTCCTGGAGGGAGAGCGAGAGTTTGTGTATAGATCGATACGGGGGTGACTCCCCCACACCTGAGTTGTTCGCTACAGTTAGACTAGGCCATTCTAGGGTGACAAAACCTTGAACGAAAATCCGGCATTTGGAAAAATGCCAAGACAGGCAAATCAGTCACTATCATGTATGGTTATAACGACTCATATAGAGATCCATTTCCATTAAGACATTACGGAAAATTAAAAACTTGTAAGTCATAATGATACAAAACATTTCTACAGTGCAAGGACCGTGACATTTTTATAAATAAGAAAATATCGGATTTTCTGGGGAAATACTATTATTCAAATACTAATTACATACAATAGAAAGAATACAAAGAAATTAGAACTGCATTTCTATATGTTAGTACTATGAAATTCACACATGCATTTATACTCGATTTTCACATCATTTTTCAGACGTTTTACATAAAATATCGTATTTTCTGGGTTTACAAAAGATACAAAGACTTTTATTCAAACATGCTTATGAACTCACCAACATTATATATGTTGACCGCTTTCAAAATAACTTGTCTTCTTAGGTAATCGTTAAGCTGAAGAATCGTCAAGAGTATTTTGGGATTTCTTTAATGCATATGTCAATTATCGTACAATTATGTATTTGAATTATGTAATGTAAAACAATTTACTTGATGTGAACAATGCCAGTTGTAATATGTAATGTTGGTGACAATTGTGTTATGTTTCATGTATATTCATTGTGACGATATTTCAATTTATAGTCACACGAGCCCCCGGACGTTTCCGCCATCTGGTTCGGGGGTGTGACAGATCCGAGGAACAGCTGCCTGAAACATTAAAAATGTTTTTTTAATCTTTTTTAAACCTAGAAAACTTATGAAAATGGAAGCTAGGGGACAACTTAAGGTGCACCATGTGAGAGTTACACAAAGCATTAAATCTAGAAAGAAATATAAAAGAAGCACCTGAATAAAGGTTGCTGGACCACCACATATATCAAAGTACTTATTTAGGCGCTCAATGTTCTGAGAAAACAAGAAAGATTATTTTACAATATAAAATATTTGTAATATAAAAAAAGTGTTAAGTACCTTAGCATTCTTGAAGATGCCATTAGGATAAGTTGTAACAAACCACCCAAGCCTCCAACCTGGCACTATCCATCTACATGAGAACGAATGAATTGCCATAAAAAATCACCAGCCAAACCTGAACATAATTTTAGGTGCACTGAGAAAAGTCAAAGGGGTATATTACTATATTATATGGTAGTTTGTATTAAGATAAGAATATGTGTATAAAGTTGTCATATATAAGTGTTGATATGTTACATACTCTGTTGATGTTCTTAGCAATTCATAGACCATATCCATCTGTAACATCAAGAAAAATGAAATTATGTGTTTATGTATTTGAAATATAGAAAAAAAGGGACATCAATATTCACCTGTAAAACATTTGGCAAGTTTAGCCTTTGACCAAGCTGGGTAGCAATTGTTGACTTTCTAACACATGTTGTGCCACATACAAGAATAACTAATGGTACTCGCTGATGGTGAAATCTACAAAAGGTATAAATACAGAAGAAAGATTTAATTACTAAATTAAGAATTTATAAAAGGGGACAAAAGGGGAGTTGGGAAATACCTTGTCATCGTCTTGTAACGATTTATATATTCTTGCCCATAGCCCCCCCGCCTTTCCATGAGCTACAATCAAAGTCATAATTATGGTTATGCCTTTGATTTGAAAGTGGCATAGTGTAAAAACTCAGAAATGGCTAAAATGGAGATAACAGGGATATATATATATATATATACCTTAAACAAATTAGCTTCCAGATCAGATTGAGAGTTGCAAAAAAACTAATATATGAGATTTAAAGAGACATATGTTAATGTAGTATTTGGAGGATGTAATATGATGACATACACGTCCAGAAGGCTATTATCTATGAGCAGCTTCTTGATTTCAAGGTGAAAATTTAAAGAAACTGAATCTTTATTCATCATATTGATATTACCACTCTTGTTTTTCCTTTCTTAACAGATAGCCCATCCATCTCAGCTTCAAAGCTATCGATTTGAGATTCCAGCTCAGACACCTAACCAATAATAAGCATTGTCATATATAATGTCTAAAAAAGGATCCACATATGTAAATAATAAAACAAAGGAAGGCCTTTAAAGTACTAGTATAATGCTATAAAGGCAGTAGTATAGTGTAGTGTTATACCGTATTGTTCAACCAATCTCTAGTCTCTGACTTGGCTTTCTCCTTTAGATCCTACAAAATATCATCAACAAAGAAACTTCACTATACAATGACTGAAGGTTATTTCCATGTATCATATGCAAAAAAAGCAAAGCAATAGATACCGTTTTAGGCTATTGCCCTAGGCCTTCTTTGGAGAAAGATTTTGTCTTTGTCTCCTTTTCACAAATCTTAAACCGTTCCATTTCTCACTCAATAATCTTGCGGGCATCCATCAGAGTCTGCTCATAAGAGGCACTAACCTACGTCAACACGTATCAGAAAGAAGAACCAAATGTCAATAAAGTAGTAGATGAAACAAGATATAGGCATCTAATTCTTAGCATAGAAGCTAAAACCAGATTAAATTTGAGATAGTGTGGCAGCAATAACAGAAAGTGTAAGTGCCAACAGATAATGACCAATGGAAGATAGCATATGTATGTGAACCAGAGAACACAACAAGCAAGTAAGAAACTTGTTTTTCTTCAGACCACGCTCTTAGTGAGAAACACTATGTCAACTCCTCATGGCCTTTTATATTCATATTCCTTTAAGTTTAAGCAGCATAGTACTAGTCACCAGACAAAACTAGATGGTATGTGATGCTAATAAAATGCATATGCAAATGTACTTCAAATTATCATTTGTCAAACAAAAATGACCTTCTTATCATTGATCTCGCTGGACCGTATCCATGTCTTAATCTGGTCTGTGTACCTCTGAAGTTTCTTAATATCCTTCTTCAAGTCGGCCTCAAACTTCTCCTTCTGATTGGAATTGTCAGTATCATATACCTAAAATACAAAATTCAACACGCAAACATGAAACTTCAGCATTCAGATTACACAAAAACCAATAACGTCAATAATTCAAAGAAAATTAAAAACATTTACGCATGCCTTGTTCCATGTGGTTTTAAAGCTAATAAATAATATATTGAATCCAATCTTTTTTAAAATATATTAATAAAACTACCTACAATTCTTGAAAGATAACTGAGATTGATTCATCTGTAGGAATGGAAGAAAGGATCTCAAGTTTTAGAGATTTGACTTGATATGCATCTGAAGTGTTTATAAAGATGTCTTCTGAAGGTGATGATGTTAGTAGTGCTTTAAAGGCATGTGGCTGTGGATATGCAAGATTATATGTATAAAGAAAACAGGAATTAAATTAAATTAACAGAAGATTTATATTGCTATTTAAGTTAGTAACCTTGACATGAAAATTTTCATAAATAGGATGTGAATCCTCATGTAGATACACCGGTCCTCTTGCAGCATCAAGGGAGTTTTCTTCTCGTGTCTCAATCTAAAGGCAAGTTGAACACTAGTAGGACTGTAAATGGACAACTATACCCTTAGCTCTCATTAACAATTTTATAAGAAAGTTATATAAGGAAAAGATCCTCTTGGATAAGCTTCCACAATCCATTGCTTAGCTGTTGTTAAATGTTAACATGAACAAAAGGTAAATAATTAAGGTAAACATATAAAAAGGAGAAAACATATAAATGGAACATCATTTCATACCAATTTCTTTTGGCAATGGTTCTGGTCTTCTTCGAGGTGAAACACATGAACAAGGTATAAACACATAGATAAATGAAACATCATTTCATACCAATTTCATACTAATTTCTTTTGGCAAGACACTTTTTGTTCCTTGGAGTTGTCATATACTTGGCAGCAACTTGTCTTGTCTTGGCCACAGGGGTAGAACCGACTTTTAAACTAGGTCTGATATTGCTTTGTTGGTCACATATCTTTTGAGAAATTGAACAAGAAATACCTACTAACCTTGGTATCCTGGGCTTTGAAGGTTTTGCAGGAGCTGAAAGTGGACATTTCATGCTAACAACACCCACACATACAACCACAACCACCTAATGGTTGTGGGTGGTGGTAGAGAAACACGTCGGTAGCCTAGGCTGCCGGCCACGATGGTAGGTGGTGCTTGACGTAAAAAACAAAAAAGAAGGAGAAGAAAAAAACAATCGATACCTTAGGCTGGAGGAAAGTTTGTCTTGAGGTCCTCTTCCATCTTCTCCTTCGACGGTTACTCAAAAATCTGACAACCCTACACAAAAACTCGAACAACTCCCTCTCTAGCCACTAAGAAGAACGAACAGAAGATTAGGGTTATTTTGGGATGCTAAGGGTTTAGTTAGAGGGGATGTAAGAACTAAATATATGAGAAATCGTCCGTAACATAAGAGCCCAAGGGGATCTCTACATCAAAATGAGGCTTTCATCTCAAGGGTACCTGACGTCAACATGTGGCTGCCAATTAGGGCTTTTTTTTTCATGTAGAGGATGTAGTTGGAGGTTTTCTTGCAGATTAAAGCCCGAGTTGTGTTGGACGAACGAAGAAGGTTAGAGGTGCTGGATATAGGTGAAGATGAAGGCCCTAGGGTTTCTTTCTAGCTAATTCAAAGATTAGCATCGATGGAAGAAGGTAGAGGCATCAGTAGAGGGAACAAGGGAGACTGAGAGAGGAGCAAATAGGCAGGGGGTTTAATTTTTGGGATGCCATTTCCCCCTTACTACTAAAACACGCGTTTCATTAAAAAAAATTATAAAACGACATCTTTAGATGATGCACATTTTATAATAAGCGCCCTCAGTGTGTGTGTGTGTTTGTTTTTTTTTGTGAGACACTAATTTTAGGGCACACAAAAATGCATGTCCTAAATTCTTCAAATTTCTAAAGATATGACATTATTTTTAGGGCACGCCCTTTTGCGTATCATTAATCAGTGCGTGTCATAAAAGCGCATCATTAAAGGTCTGTTTTCTAGTAGTGCTACCACTATTGCAATGCCTACTCAAACTGCAAATCTCGACATTTTCATATTCTTAAGGTATCATCTACTCCTAATACCACTATTATTTTACTGTCACAATCCCACATCCAACCGAAACTGAGATTTTTTAGAATATCATTAATGAAGCTATTATTAATCTCTATTAATCACAATCACCCTGTTGAATCATGAAAAATAACCCTCTTGAACTTCAGCTACCGCAACCAACAAGCTACCACAGTCAAGCTCCCTCTTCAGCATCCGAAGTCATCAAAGCCAACCGCAGTCACTCTTTGTTACTTAGTTTATTTTATCTTACTTAAATTCTCTCTATTGTCCAGTATGCCTTTCATGGCTACTCTTAGAGATTGAATCTAATGTAACTCCTTGAGTATCTATAAATAGAGCCCATTCTCATTATTCCAAAGATTAGAAAGTGTAACGGATCTATCATTCTGAATACACATCTCTGAAGTTATCTTTTCTATCTCTCCATCTAATTACTCATCTCTTCTTACTCACAAATCTTACTAGAATATAACTGATTACAATCTCTCTTCGGAGCAAGTCTCTTGTGACTTAATCACTAAGTTTGATCTCACTTATTAACTTGCCTTGAATGCATTCCTTGTTATGAATTAACTTATGTGTACTCTTGATATAACAATTGTTGTCATTTCATTTCTTTACTTTTCCGCAACTAACTCTCTAACTATCTAACTCTAAATATTATTGTTGAGCTTTTAGATCCTTCGAGATTAACTATTCCGCAATATACTTGTTCTAACGTTTGTTCAAGTGTGTCTCAAAGTTTTTCTCTCAA